AGACTCTGGTTCGGGACTAACCCAATGGACTCTTCGAGAGATCGACTTGAGAGACTAAAGCTAATGCCAAAAATATTTCTTTAATAAGATTTAGATAAAAAATTGATTATCGGTAATAAAATCGAAATTGGTGTAGATAATTTCTCTGAAAGTAATTCATAATATTGTTTATCTTTATTCAAGTTTCAAGAATAAGTCACCTAAATGTTCGGCTTTTATCAAAGTTGAAATCAAAATTATGTAAATAAACTTGCAATATAATGAAACTTCAGATTCGATTTTTGTATTTCTCAGTAAAGATTAATCATCATAGATATTCATATAAACGATACATTTTATTAGAAAAATACGAGTGACATTCTTAATTATCAGGGCATTGATATGATTATACAGAACTATGCGTCCTTCCCAGTCCATATCCAAATTTAATTTCAAACACGATCTCAGTCAGGTTCAAGTCCACAAAAAAAATTACTTGGAACCACACCATCCCTAAATGACTAACTCTTAAGTTCATCGATCATGATATACATTTATTAATCTCAAATAAAATTTGTCATGTAATACATAATTGTTTTCTTTTTTTAATTTAAGGAAAAGAAACGACTTGAAGTCGAAAATCGTGCTATGAAACAAGAACTTGTTCGAACAAAATCTAAAATAAGTTCATTAAAACGTGAAATGAGTTCAATACAACAATTACATCTTGCACAACAGCAAGTTCAAGCACAATTATCAGCACCAATACTTTTATCAAGTCGACAAAAACATGAAAAATATCATGAATATCATCATCATCCATTATGTCAAAGTAATCCTCAATCATCTACAGTAACATATAAAACAGAAAATTTTGATCAAATCAATTCTAATCATGATCACCACAAGAAAAATATTTCAACATCAAGTTATGAAGAATTATTATCGTCTTCAGGTGGAACAAATCAACCAATATGTTCCGTACAATCAACGCAAACAACATCTCGTTCACCACCATCACCAATAATTACTTTTTCCAATTTATTGTCATCATCATCATTCAATAATACTTTAAATGATCAACAACAACAAACTCGTCGTTCATTAAGTTTAACACCTTCTTCCACACATTGTGATTCATCTATATCATTATCTGATGAACAATTACGACTCTATCTAACTGAAACATTACAACGAGAAAAAGATAGTGCCGTTTAAAAACATTTCTTTTTCTTCTTGTGAATGCTGGTCGTTCACATTTTTCATTGTGTATTTTCATGATCGTGTGATCAAACATTTTGTTTTTCTTTTCTTATCCCGAAAATTATACATATTTAAATTACTACTAGTCACCAAAAAAAAAATGACATCGAGAACAGTCTACATATATATATATATATAGATATAAATATATTTTATTGTGTCAAGTTTTTCTCTTTCTTCTTTTTTTGTTTTTAAATAATATGCTGGTACAACATTCCGTTTTGTCGTCTTATATATTTTTTCTCTTTTTAATATAACAAAAAACAAACACATTCATTTTGAGAAATATATTTGTAGAAGAATATTTTATTATTAATTGTTAATATTACCATCGATTTCTTGTAATAATCGATCACATTTTGACATAACTAATTTAATAGCATCGATAAAGAGTTGATCTGGTGATAGTGCACCAACACTTTCAATACTAACTAAAATAGAAAATGAAATAATTATTTTATTTAATTATTTAAATTATACAAACATATGAAATGATCACGAATTTTATTTAATTCAATACAATCTTTTAATGCAGGATAACGAAGTGCTTCACGACTACACATATCAAGACGAGGTTTGGATACAACAGCACGACGATGACCTAAATAAATATATTTTATTTTCTGAGTACTAATGTGCACAATGGACCATAAATAGCACTACAATAAAAAAAAAATTGATAATATTTCCGCTTCGGTTCGCTCGAATAGACTAATTTTTTCGTTTAGCAGTAGCATCTTATTTAAAGTTTTCTTTTTTCATATGAACAAGGTAAACAAATGCTACTGTTAAATTTTATTTTTGGTCTCACTAAAGACATTTCACCTATTGTTAAGAAAGAAAAATACTTATGAAACGTTTCATAGATAATTTTCAATTGTCATCTAAAAGAATAATAAGATAGAGCAACATTGGAGACGCTTATCTATGCACCATTCATTAGATTCGAAGAAGTTCTTCATGGATATTTATAAGTGAACATATTTTTCGTTGCCCATTCCTATAAGTTTTCGTAGTGATCTAGGCTCAAATCACACCAAAATGCAGTGCAAAGAGAGCAGTATTTTCCATTAAATTTCCAGATTTTCGAGCATCTTACTTGAAGCATAAATTCAGAGTAAGGGTGAAAAGATCGAACAATTATATAGAGAATACAATATTCTTCGGGTTATATTTTAGCGTAATTTGAGTCTAGGTTGTTATGAAAACTTGTAGAAATGGGCAATGAAAAAGATGCCTATCTGAAAATATCCATGAAGAACTCATTCGAATCTAATGAATGTTACATAGATAGATATCTCCAACATTGCTCTATTTAATGATGAAAACCTGACTTCGGTAGCTATAAACGATTGAAAACTATCCAGAAAATGGTGATTAGCATTTACAAAAAAAACCAACAATAGTCAGTTTAAATATTGAAACGCATGTTACATAAATAAGACGCACCATTATAACCCTATGGACACCAACTTCCTTGCAAAGACCAATGTTCCATATTTGAAAATTTGAAATTTTGTAATCGTTGACTTTTAAACTAATTAGTTCTGAAAATTTGCTCTATATGCAGCAATATAGTACCATTGGTAAAGTTCGTTCTGATTTCTTCGTATTTTTCTTACTTGATGCTAACAATAATACATAATAGTATTATTTGTTTACTTCACCTGTATGAAAAAAGCTTCAAATAAACTTCTACTACTAATCAAACAATTAGTCCATTTGATTCAACCGACATGGAGATATTTCATTTTTTTGTTATGTATGGCCCACTCTGTATCACACAATTGATAAGTGTCAAAAGAAATTTTATTTGAAAACAATTAAACTTATTGTTCTATATATTTAGACTATTCAATTGTTTACATATGGACATGATAGGTTTTCTTTTTATTCATCACTATTTCCTATTTGAAAAACCGTCGACAAATATCGATGATTTCAAATCATTTTGCAATATTTTTCATCAATTAAAGTTTATGATATCTATAGTAACAAATAACACGCATACCACATTACTCAATATTATTCTTAAGATACAATTAATTAGAAAATGCTTTTTAATATTGTCCATCATCGGAGAAAATAAAAATGAAAACAATTTAAACAATTTTTTTCTCTTCTATCAAACTAGAAAATGTATAAATTTGACAAGACTAATCAATATCAATCATATAATCGACTCAAGGCAATGACAATATTGATTTTAATAGGAATAGAAAAGTAATTTTTTTCTTTGATTGTTCATTGATAAACTATTCATAAAAAAAAATAATTCGTTTTTACCCTTATTATCATCTTCAAGTTCAATAACACCTTGTGTAAAACATTTTTGTAATTGTTCTGCATCTTCATCATATATTGGTTTTTTCAAAATAATTTCAGGCATTAAACGATACGATGCTGTACCTAAAAACAAATCAATAATAAAAACGATTTTATTATATAAAGATCTCTTACAAACAGGTGAAAATTTTGCATGATCACGACCAATACCTTTATGACAAACCAATTTCAGATCAATTTCCTATAGAAAACAATAATTAGTCTATTCATTTTTCATATGAAATATGTATATATATTTACCTGACCCGGACGAAGTTTTACAATTAAAATATCATGTGAAACTGGTCCAACATCTTCCGATTTAAACTAAATTTTTTAATAAATATTTCATAAGCAACAAAAAAAAAATCATAAATTAATTAAACCTTTGTTGCTTGATTTCCAATAGGTATCCATTCCATATGTTCGGTATAAACTATTTGATTAAAAGAAAAAAAAAATATAAATCAAAATAGTTTTATCAATAAAATTATTTCACTTCTTTTACCATTGCTATTAATATAAGGATTTTTTGAATTATCATTTCCATCTGTTGTTGCTTTAGGATTTTTTTTACATGCAACTTTAAGTTTAAAAATTAATGTATCATCTTCACGTTCTTTTGTATCACTTGAAACTTTATCAACAAATAATCTTGGATCAGCATGTAATGGAATAAGACCAAGACGATGTGCAAGAACATCATCTGGTAATACTGATGAATTTTCTGTTACATGAACTTTTTCAATAGCCTAAAAAGAAAATAATTTCAATAAATCATTCTTATTATTGTTTTTGTTTTGTTCTTGTTTAATTACCATGGACGGAAGTTCAGCAATAAGTATACGACGAAATGCATTAGCAATAGCTGCATCAATACCAATTAAATCAAATTCAGTTGTTGTAGTATCCAAATTTGATATTTGAATTTTTAAATTCTAGAAAAAAAATTAAATATTAAAATTAAAATGAAATAAAGATTCTATTAATACCTTTCGAAATTCATCTAAATTTAAACGATCATCATAACCGGGATAATTACCAGGAAAATCTGTTGATGTAGTCTTTATTAATATAAATATTAAAAAATATATTATTCTATCAATTAAAGTAACACTTACATGTAAAACTTCAGTTTCCTCTAATTTAATTCTCGTTCTAATATTATTTAATGATGCCATCTTCTAAAAGAAAAATATTTTATTAACTTCTTATTTCACGTTAAATATAAATTATAGAAGAAAAAAAAAGATCAATTTTATTATCGAGCTTGTTATTTTTTTCTTAATAATACTAAGAAAAAACAAAATGTTTTATTTGTAACGATTTATATAAGGATGATGTAAAAGTATAAATGCATCAGCTCATGCATGAGGATCAAGAACAAGCGTACAATGAAGAATATCGACTAGGTCACGATCACGTGAAGGTCGTTATCCATGTGGTGGATTTGCTGCTCGTGGATTATATTTTGATGGTTTGCCATAAGGCATATAATAAACAATAGCACCTAAGGACCAAACATCAGCTTTTGAACCATAAGGGCGACCATGAACACAACAATCTTGCCAATACTTCTGGTACACTAAAACAAAAAAAAACAAAAAGAAATATTAAATGCTTCTAGAAATAATTAATTAAATTCTTGCCTACAGTATGGCGTACCGGCACCAGCAGCACTACATAAATAATAGAAAAATTAAAGAAGAAATATTTTATAAATTTTCTTACCCTAACATTTCAGGTTCTTTTTTGATATACCTAAATCAATTATTTTAAGTGTTCGTTCAAATAAAATAAAATTATCTAGTTTTAAATCCATATGAACAATATTATTTGTAGTAAGTGTCTTTATAATACTGACCATTTGACATCAAATATATTGGCGAATAACTGAATCTATATACGTATCAGATTCTTTTGAATACCTAGCGTCTGCATGTAAACGTTCAACAAGTCCTAATAAACTTTCGCTACCTAAGTCCATAACAATATAGACTAAATAAACAAAAAAAAAAACAATTTTCCGATATTGATGTAATGAATTTTAAAGTTACTTTGACCGTATTCAGGATCAAAATCAAAATCATAAATACAAACAACATGATATGATTCTTATCGTAATTTTTCAAGATGGCTAACTTCAGTTAAATATGACATGACAAGAGCTTCAGTCATATAAGGCACTCCACTTTTATCAATTACTTTAACTGTTACATCAACACCATCGGATCTTTTAACCATATAAACAGCGCCTGAATTTTTTTGTATAAAATAAAAACAAAATCATGAAAACACAAAGATTCTTATTTACTAAAACCACCGGCGCTTAAATGTTGCTGAAACGTATATGGTTTAGTATGAATATAAACAACTTCATCAACTAAATGATCTCTACCATCAGTAAAATAAGCATGATCTAGAGACAAGAAACTATCTAAAATTAAATTTAGTTTTTTTTTCTGTAATATTTAATTAAAATACTGACTCGATACTCCTCCCATAAAAATTTAACATTCAATAGTCTGATACGCTTTATATTTTTGCTCTGGTAAAACATAATTAGTGTTACCATTGGAACAAGGACATATAATTGGCATGATATATGTTGAGGGACCGAGGAAAAATGAGTAAATGTTCCACATGAATAGACCGTGCACAGTTCTATTTGTACGAATACTATATGCTAATAAAACATATGGTCTCTTTCGATAATTTAACCAAAGTAATATTCTGTTCTATGGACATGAAGAAAATTGATTGAAGCCATCAAAGCAGGTTGTTAATGTCATACTTATCAACAGCAGGAAAGGACAAAGTGTCATAACGAAAAAACAATCTCATTTTTTACTAATGATAAAATCAGTGAGATAATGTACACTTGACTTTATTGTACTTCAAATTGTAGCAAATCATGAATCATATTATGAAATAAAAAATAAATGAAATCTTAGATGTGTATTATTACAACACTTTTCTCTTCATTATCTAGCTTGATAAAATCTTATTCAATTCATCTCTCACATACCACCCTATTCGTTTCTCACCGACGTCGATACAGAGGATCAATTAATCTCTATGTACACATATCTACACTTAATAATGAGATGTGATTTAGTTTCTTATCTAAAACATTCGTACTCAATCATTTTCTTTTTTTCCCCTTATGATAATTATCAGCAACAAGATTATAGTACAGAAAAATAAAAAAATCGTTAAAGCAATAAAAAATTTTTGACATTTTCTTCTACTTCTCCCTGCTTCCTTTTTATTTCTATTTCATTCGTCATTATCAATTCTTTCTTCAACATATTATCTAGATAGAATTAAGACAGGAAGAAAAAAAAAGAGGAAAAAGAGAAAGGAACGAAAAAGCAAAGTGAATCAATGAATAGAAATGAACTTCTTCTTCTTCTTCTTCTCTTCTCTTCTCTTTTCTCTAAAAGAAAGACTACACACTGTGTATATATGCATATTACCTCTGTTGTTTTTTGTCAATTAGACGCGTACGATGGCGACCGAGTTTGCGGAAGAAATTTTACCTTTCCTTTCCCCTTCTTCTTCGTCTTTTCTAACTGTCATTGGCGCGTCGCACAACCATCACTCGGTCGCTGCCCGTGCTCGATCAACACCTCGCTTACTCATATTTCAAAAAAAAAACAAAAAAAAAAAAGTAAAATGTTTAACATCTAAACGACGTCAATGCACTTATATAGACATAGAGAAAAAAGTAATGAAAGCTGAAGCAAACAACAATCGAATTACTTACAAAAATACTTAATTTGATTTTTGTTATTTTTTAGATTTTTGAAATTTTTTTCTTTTTATTGCCATACCTTCATGCGGGAATATAAATTAGTCGTGTTAGGTAGTGGTGGTGTAGGTAAAAGTGCATTAACTGTACAATTTGTACAAGGTATATTTGTCGGTAAATATGATCCAACTATTGAAGATTGTTATCGTAAGGTAAGTAGAAGAAAGAAAAAAATTTTCTTTTTTTAATTATCTAGAAAAGAAAAAATTAGAATATATATATATTTTTTTTTTTCGATTATAGCAAGTAGAAATTGATGGTGTTAATTGTATGCTTGAAATTCTTGATACAGCTGGAACGGTAAAAATATTTACAAAAATAAAAGAAAATCTTCATATTTGTTTTTAATCTAGGAACAATTTACAGCAATGAGAGATTTATATATGAAAAATGGACAAGGTTTTATACTTGTTTATTCAATAACATCACAGGCAACATATAACGATTTACTCGATATAAAAGATCAAATAATGCGTGTTAAAGATGTTGGTGCTGATATACCAATGGTACTTGTTGGAAATAAGAATGATCTTGAAGATGAACGTGTTGTTGGAAAACAAAATGGTGAAGCATTAGCACGTTCATTTGGATGTACATTTCTTGAAGCATCTGCTAAATTACAAGTTAATGTTAATGAAGTAAAAGTTTTGTTCTTTTTTACATTAAGAATATTTATATTTATTTATTTAAATAATTTGATAGATATTTTTTGATTTAATACGACAAATTAATCGTAAAACTCAACGACCTCGACAAGCTAAACAAATATCATCACAAGGCTTTGATCAACTTGAATCACGAGGTGATTATCAACATGATTATCCATCAGCACGTCGAGCTAATCGAACAAATGATCAATTCAAAGATTGTTGTATTCTTTTATGAGAAGAAAAAAAAATGAAATACAAAACAGATATAATTTTTGTTTTTTTTGTTCCTTTATTATATATGTCATTTTATTTGTTTGTGTATAGCGAAAAAAAAATCTTGTTCATCTTACAAAAACAAAACAAAAGTCGATAATTATCTATCTTATAGATAGGCAATACGTAATAAACAGAAGAAAAAAAAAACATATTTGAATCATTTTGAAATATGACTCAGACAATGAATAATAATATGATAAGAATGACTCATGCAGACTATCGAATGTCTCATGGAAGGATAAAATTTAATATTTTAATGATATTTATTTTTATATTTGTTTTGAAATAGATTCTGAATTTTAATTCTTTATAAAATAGTATAGGTTTTTTTTTTATTAATATAAATAAAATTTGTCAGTTTGAAAGATACGCTTCAAATCAATAGTTCAATATAGAGTTCGACAGTTCCAAAAAACTGGAATCGAAACTGATAAATCATTAGATAGACACAAAAGATTCTTAAATCTATGTCAAGAAATCTTCATTTTTGAAATTAAAGATTTCAGTAGATATGGATAATATTGTTTCGTTTAATTATTGAAATATATGGCGTCTTTAAATCTCAACAATTCAATAGTGAAAATTTCTTAGAATAGATTTCAAATTTTCGTATCTATCTAATGATTTATTGATTTCAGTTCCACCTGATATTTTAGGAACTGAACGAAAATCATTTTTTTCGCATTTTTAATAACTACAACCACTGAACTCTAGTCTAAGATGAACAATATTCTAATACAACTTTTTTCTTTCAGTTGTTTCTAATTATATGTATAGATATTTCTTTCGATGTTACTTTTTTTCTAATTGAGAAAATGTATGAATTCGCTCCAAATTGAAAGATTCAATGTATTTAAATCTAGACTAGACTATTCGATGATTAATGGTCATTAATGATAGGAGAGAAAAAGATGTCTTGACCTAACTGTTGTGTAATTATATGGATGTGAAATTTCATATATCGATCTACTGAAATGTCTAATCTTGTCTGAAAATCTTATTTCCATATTTTAGTATCACTGAAAGAACATTCTTAATGTATTGAAAGTAATCTAATATCTGTTGAACGAAAATGATTATCGATATCAGATTGATTATTGCAGTAGAGAGATGTACAGGGTAGATTGTTTTCGTATTCTGTACTCTATGACAGAGAAAAAGTTTCTTGCTCTGTACCCTACCACGCAAGATAGGGTAACTCTGCACATTTCTACATTTCAACAGGTCGATATGTGATATCTTACATTTCTCAATTATACAACAGTAGGGTCAGAGCAACTTGTCCTCTGTCATCATTAAGCGATTTATATTTAAATGCATTGAAGTTTTTTACATTCTCTCAATTAGGAAAAAGTAACATCAAAAGAAATACTTTTACATATAATTAAAAGTAAAAGAATGACAAAAAGTTGTATTAGAACATTGTTGATCTTAGACGCTTCATTTGGAGCTTGTCTCAAGAAATAGCAGATGTTATTTACAAAAAGATGAATCTATTAACAAAAAAAAAAAAGAATTAAGTCTAAACGAACGAATATTAAAAGACAGATCATTAAAATATTTAGAGATTCATTTTACCTGTGACATCTGACATATTAAAATTTCTAGTTTCGATATCTATATTATCTTGTTATCATTGAAAACCGTAGCCTTTTCTTTTCTAACGCCCTCTAAAACACTATCAATAACATAAAACGTCTATTTTTTTCTATAAAAAGGACAACATAGTTGATAAAGGCGAGATAGACGTTATTTTTATTAACATAGACAAACAACAACGCAAAAATTCAAGACAATTTCAGTACCATTTAGTTTCAGTCAATTACTAAAAAAAACATACGCAAATATTTAACATATTTTAAATTAATAATGTCCGATTATCTAGTATGTGTTTTTGGCTCAGGCGGTGTAGGCAAGTCATGTTTGGTATAAAAATAATAATAATTATAATTCATAAGTTCTTAATTACTATTTCTTATTTTTTTTTCTATTTGATATTTTTTACAGACAATGCAATTTGTTCAAGGTATTTTTATGCCAAAATATGATCCAACAATTGAAGATGTTTATAAAACAGTAGAATTTAAAATATAATTTAAAAAAAAGGAAAAATTCTATTTGTTTTATTTAGACAATTGACATAGATGAAAGAAAATATTCATTAGAAATTTTTGATACAGCAGGAACAGTAAATTGATAAAAAAAACAAATATTTTCGTTTTTCATTTTGTTTTTTGTTTTCGTTTTTCTTATATATAAATCTATTTCTAGGATGAATTCTCTGCTATGAAAGATTTATATGTTAAAGATTCACATGGATTTCTTCTTGTCTATTCAATAACATCTCGATCAACATTTAGTGATATTCAAGGATATTATGATCAAATAATAACTATTAAAAATATTGATACTCATGTAAATAAAAAATAAAAGTAAAAAATTCTATTTCAATAATATCTAATGAATTTCTAGGGTAGGCCAGCAATTGTTCTTGTAGGCAATAAAATTGATTTAGAAAAGGATCGAGTTATATCTCGTGAAGCTGGTCAAGCATTAGCAAGAAAATGGGATTGTGCTTTTCTTGAAACATCAGCTAAAGATCGAGCAAATGTTACTGAAGTAAAAGAATTATTTTCTTTCTAGGTTTTTTATTATTAAAGTCAATATATTTTTTATTTTTTTCTAAGGTATTTTATGATTTAGTTCGGCAAATAAATCGAAGAAATCAAGTGCCACCAACGAATAAATCAATACCAGATAGTATCGACCCATCTGAAGCACGTGTAGAATTTCATAAAAGACAATCAACCTCAAAATCGACTGCTCAAACAAAAGACAACAATCCTGGATGTTGTGTTTTGCTATAAAAAAAGAACAGAATTCTATAACTAATTGTCTAGCATTACGATCGATAATGAATAATGATTACTATAATAAATACAAACAAGAAAAAAAACCCATATATATATATATATATTTATAGATGTGACCGATCATAATGATTCACAGAAGTCACGCTTCATTTTCTTTTCGCTTTTTTTTCACACTTACAGTCGGTGTCTCCTCATCGATTAGAGTGTAGACATTATTTTTTTTTTCGATTATACATATATATGTATATATTCAAATGCTATTAACGTCATAAAGCGCACATTTTATGAAGGATACGAAACATAGGTGACCCTAAAGGAAAGAAATAAATAACTGTTGACGTCGTTTAATAAAAGACTACTATTCTTACATACGTTGTTTTTTTTTTTTTGTTACGAAATTTCTTTTCACTTAAGTAACTTAATATTCAATAATGCCGATTTCTGAATACAAAATATGCATTTTTGGTTCCGGTGGTGTTGGAAAATCGTGTTTGGTAACAAGAAAAAAAAAGATTAGTTCTAATTAACTAATAATTATTGTTTTATATTTTATAGACAATGCAATTTGTTCAAGGTATTTTTATGCCAAAATACGATCCAACGATTGAAGATGTCTATAAAAAAGTATAATTTACGCTATGTTTTCATTTCTTTTCTAATAATATTTCTTTTTTTAAAGACAGTTGAAATTGATGAAAAACAATATTCATTAGAAATACTCGATACAGCAGGAACTGTAAGTTAATATAATAGATTTATTGTTGTTTTTTTTCTTTTGTTGAGTTTTCTTAATTTATTTTAATAGGAAGAATTTTCTGCTATGAGAGATTTGTATGTTAAAAATGGACAAGGTTTTGTTCTTGTCTATTCAATAACATCTCGAGCAACATTTAATGATCTTCAAGGATATTATGATCGAATAATGCGTGTTAAAGATACAGAAATTAATGTATGTTTAAAAAAAAAGACAAAAAAAAATAGCTTCGGATTCTTAAAAAAATATTTCTTTTTTAAAATTTAGGGTCAACCACCACTTATACTTGTGGGAAATAAAAGTGATTTAGAAGATGAACGAGTTGTTGGTCGTGAAGTTGGTCAAGCATTAGCAAGGAAATGGAAATGTACTTTTCTGGAAACATCTGCTAAAGATCATGCAAGTGTTGATCAAGTAAAATAAAAAGCTTTTGATTTTCTTTTTATATATTTATCAAGATATATATCTTTTTTTTTCTAGGTCTTTTTTGATCTTGTTCGACAAATCAATCGATTACCAAATATTTCTTCTAATCGTTCACAACCACGGCATTCTTCAGTTGAAAATACAGGAGCTGTTGCAACACGACAAATAACCAATTCGCAATCGAAACATAAATCACACTTACATAAACATTTTCATAAAAATCGAAAAGACGGATGTGTTCTTCTCTAATGAACAAAAATTAAAATCTTCTTTTTCTTTGTTCCTTACTATTTCTAATTTTATTTCAGACATAACTATGTATGTATTAACAGTTCAATAAGAAAAAAAAAGAATATATATCATATGTGCATCATTGATATTGGATAATCGATCAGAATATGCAATGAGATATATATTTAGATTTCAGCGGGTATAAAATAGGAGAGAAAGAGTGATGAAACAACAATATATATATATATATATCTAAACTTATGTCAGTATATATTGATCACATTAAAAATGACAAAGATTTACCGATAACTTATTCGATTAGTATTAAAACTTTATCTACATCAAAACGACCAATAACATGTTGCATAACGAGTGAACCACAAATATCAAAACAACATGCAAACAGTCAATTAAATTATATAAAATCATCATCAATATGTTTAGAAAAAAACCAAGATTCTCATATTAAATTATCGGACAATGATCACCAGTCATCAATCCATTCACCGATTACATATTCAAGTAGTATTCATGTGCCATATGATCCTCCAATTATAACATCACGTCCTCCTACAATTTTACCATCACAAACTACTCATCATCATTATCATTATTATTATCATCATCGACAATCAAGCTTGTCATGTGACCCATCAACGATAATTAAACGTAAAATTTCTTCACAACCTATATCAACTACTCGTATTCGACCCGATACAATATCAACAACAAGAACAACTTCAACTGATTCAATATCCTTATCAAAAAAATCGAACAAAATTATTCACTCAACATTAACAAATTCTACATCTATTCCTGTTAATAAACAATCATCTCATAATCTTTCATTTCCATCTTATTCAACTCTTACATGGAATTGGTTTCATCATACACCTATTAAACCTCAAACTTATCATAAAGGAAGTCAATCTGATTATTCCGAAGTATGTCGACATGAATCACCTAAAAAACGTAATCTTCTTTTTAAATTAATAACATCATCTATTGAGAAAAATTCTAAATCTAAACATCATTATTGTACTTGTTTCTGTCGAAAACGTTTTCAATCGTCATCATTATCATCATCATCACCATCATCATTACCAAACAAATTAAATAATTACCATGAATAAAAAAAGAACAATTTTTTGTTTTCTTTATTATATTTCACTGTTTTACATGATGTAGAAAAGAAGAAATTGTTCCAGTGAAATATACAAAAAAAAAAAGTGATGAAAGAAAAATAATAGTAATGAACAATAGTACATAAACAGCACCTTTCTCTGTCGAACAAAATATGTTTGTGATAAAGATACAGAAAAATAAGAACAACACTGCAGAAAATAAAACAAAAAACAAAAAAAAGAAAGAAGAAAAAACTAATCTGTTAAAGAAAATACAACTGAGAATAGTTGACCATCAAAATTGAATAATTCTATATGTGACTATTGTTTTTCTTTCGTGCAAGACTACAGGATAAAGATGAAAGAAATAAATGATAATGTAAAATAAATTAATGGTATTTTTGTTAAAAAAATTTGATTTAAATATATTTTTTTATCTTATTTCCTTTTTGTCCAATCTGATTGATATTTGCGTGAAACATAATATTCATATGCGGCACGATTACATATTGGTAACCATTCACTAGCGTGATCTTCTACAGCCTAATAAAAACAAAATAAATAAATAAATAAATCTATTTAATATTGAAAACTTTTTATTCATACTTGAAGGTATATGTATGCATCTGTACCATGTCCATCAATTGAATGAATTTCTAAATCACCATTAAAATATCGAGCATAAAGTCGACTCTAGAAAGAAAATTTCGTTTTCTTCATAAATATTCAAACTATAGTGCTGTTCAAAAACATAAGACTAACGTATTTTTTCTACGATAGTAAATATTTAATTTGAATCCAAATAGTAATTTGAACAATCAATGAAGTTTACTATCAAATGTATTACCTATCAGAATTCCATAGAGAGATTGGACAGTTTTTGAAAAACCAAATACGATACTTTTCAGATCTTAGAAGACTGTATGAAAATTAGTTTTTAAGAGTACTATCTTGAAGAACACAGTGTCGTGAATAAAATGATGAGTTATCGCATTTTCTCCGATCTTGTTATTAGTATCACAAAAAATGAAAAAAACCAAGCGAAATGCAGGTTTTAGCATTGTTAAAAACCGCATTTTTTTTTTGTTTCTGTGATATTTACAACTTTTTAAAGGGAGGTCGTAGAAGAAGTGGCAATACA